GATCTCCCAAGTTTTTACATAATTATCCTGAAACAGGTTGCTCTTCTTTGGGGTTAGCCAAATACCCAGGCACTTTGCTTTTTGGCAAATTTTTAGGCCAAATGTTTTTTCCAATTCTTCTTTTTCTTGAACTGATGTATTTTTAACCAATAATTTTGTTTTTGTTTTGTTCAATTTAAAGCCTGCTACTTCACCAAATTCTTGTATTATTTCAATTATTTTTGATAGACTCTTTTTTGGATTTTCTGTCATTATGAGCAAGTCATCGGTGAAAGCCTTTATTTTATAAGCCTGGTTCCCCAAGGTTATCCCTTTAATTTGACTTCTTATATTTTTTTATTTAAGATTTCCAATACCAAAATAAATATTAGAGGAGATAAAGGGCAGCCTTGGCATGTACCTTTGTTAATTTGGCATTCCTTCATGATATTGCCATTAATGATTATTTTAGCTCACTGTTCAGCATATATAGCACTTATTCCTCTACAAAAAAATTCTCCAAACCTCATTTCTTTCAATAATTCTTTCATGAATTTCTACGAGATATTATCAAACACTTTTTCAGCATCAACTAACATAATCACAGCAGGTTTATCTATTTTAAAGTCCAAGTATTCCAACACATGAATAACACTGCATGTGACGTCCAGGTAGAAATCCAGTCTGATCTCTATGTATCAATTCTTGGAGAGTTGTTTTGACCCTGGAGGCTAAGACGTCTGCAAACATTTTGTAGTCATTGTTTAGAAGCACAATATGATCGGTCTATAATTAGCTATGTTTGTTAAATCAACTTGTTTTAGGATAAGCATAATGTAACTTTCTTCCAGGGACGCGGGTGGTGCTGTGGGTTAAACCACAGAGCCTAGGACTTGCCGATCAGAAGGTTGGCGGTTCGAATCCCCGTGACGTGGTGAGCTCCCATTGCTCGGTCCGAGCTCTTGCCAACCTAGCAGTTCGAAAGCACGTCAAAGTGCAAGTAGATCAAAAGGTACCGCTCCGGCGGGAAGGTAAATGGTGTTTCGGTGTGCTGCTCTGGTTCGCCAGAAGCAGCTTAATCATGCTGGCCACATGACCTGGAAGCTGTACGCTGGCTCCCTCGGCCAAAAAAGCGAGATGAGCGCCGCAACCCCAGAGTCGGTCACGACTGGACCTAATGGTCAGGGGTCCCTTTAGCTTTACCTTTAACTTTCTTCCACGTGTTTGGGAGAGTTCCATTCATCAATATATCATTCATTAAATATTTTAGGGGAAGGAATAAAATTTCTTCCATTTTTTTATAATAAATTGCTGGGAGCCTATCTGGGCCAGGAGTTTCCCCTATTTTTGATCTTTGTATTGCTTGTTGAACCTCTAGGGACATTATTGGTGAATTCAATGAAGTAATTTTATCCTCTGGGATCAACGATAATTTGCTTTCTTCTAGGTAATTTTTAATTTTATCTATTCCTTCTGAACCTTCTTTGTATAATTCTTTATAATATTTAACAAATTTATTATTAATTTCATTTTGGTCTTCTATCCATTTGTCTTCTATTTTGATTTTGTTGATTTTTATCTAGCTGCCAAACCAAAAGTTTTCCAGACTTATTCCTAAATTCGAAATGTTTGTGATTCAACCATTTAATTTTCCATTCTATCTCTTCATTTATCAGCATTGAGAATTGGGTTTGAAGAATTTTGATATTTTGTTTGATGTTTTCATCATCTCGATGCTTAAATAATTCTCTTTCTTTTTTCTTCAGTTTCTCCCATACTTCAGGTTTTTTTCCTTCATTTTTCTTTTGTATGCATTCTGTTGGATGAAAAACCCCCTAAACACTGCTTTGCTTGCTTCCCAGACAATTTTCACATTGGTTCCTTGATCGGTTCCTTAAATTCATTTCAAAATACTCTTTTGATGTTTGCTTGGCTTTCTGTAAAATCTTTTCATCTTTTAATAAGCTTTCATTCATGTGCCACCTCCTTAATTTCCTCTCTTTTCCTTTTAACAAAATTTCCACCAAACTGTGATCTGGAATGGTTCTGGGATGAATTTCAGCTTTTTTGACTTCACTCAACATGTTCTTAGTAATCCAGATTCCATCAGTTCTTCCTGCTGAGTTGTTAGGATCAGAAAAGTGGGTGATTGGGTGTTTAAACTTCCATGCATCATTCAGACAAATTAAATCTATTAATTGGAAGAAAGTGTTTGGTAATTTATTTTGTTTGCTATGTTTTTTCCCCCTTCTGTCCTAATCCGGTTGCGTAACTCCATTAAAGGTGCCTAAAAGAATAATTTTGTCCTAGATAATCCATTATTTCCTTCCTTTTTGTTTTCTTTAGAAGAGAAAGAGAGAGAGGATTGTTAGGTCCTGTGGCTTCTGTTCCCTCAAGGGCAGCTTCCTTCTAGTGCAACGTGTCTGCCAGAGGGCAGGTAGCGCAGGCCGAAGATGCCCACTTTAGGCTGGGGGTTTCTAGGCAGGGCTGTCAGAGTCCGTCAGCATTCCCCAGTGTGGAATAAGGGGACCGGTGGTCTAACTTCATCTAATGCAGCTTCCTGTGTTCCCAGGTGAAGACTGGCAAAATTCATGCCACGCTCTCTAAATATAACGCTCCTGAACAAACTAACTATGTCAATGCTAAAAAAAAAACATTTTTTTGGCAGTAAGGTGCTCTCTGAATCCTATGCCATAAAACCTTATCAACATTCAACACAGCCAGATGGGCAGGGTATAAATAAAACAGTAATAATGGTAATAATAATCAGTTAACATGTGGACAACAACTTCTACAATTTGGCAGAAGGAGGTTTGCCAAGCAACACATGATATGACAGTTCACAGATATTAAAGAGAGAGCTTTCTATCCCCACCTGAGATGCTTCCTAATATGTGTGCTCCAAACATAACCTTTGCTATTTTTAACTTGTTCAGGAAAATAGTCTTTCTTGCCCACCATCTTTACTAAATTATTAAAGGTAAGGTAAAGGTACCCCTGCCCGTACGGGCCAGTCTTGCCAGACTCTAGGGTTGTGCGCTCATCTCACTCAAGAGGCCGGGGGCCAGCGCTGTTCGCAGACACTTCCGGGTCACGTGGCCAGCGTGACAAGCTGCATCTGGGAGCCAGCGCAGCACACGGAAACGCCGTTTACCTTCCCGCTAGTAAGCGGTCCCTATTTATCTACTTGCACCCGGGGGTGCTTTCGAACTGCTAGGTTGGCAGGCTAAATTATTATTTCTGAGCAAACCTCTGCTTTTGCTGTTTGGATAAATCATGTCAGGGAATAATGCTTTCTCTAGAAATTATTTTTATTTATTTACAAAGACAGCCCTGTATATTAGGAAAGAGGCATGTAGGCCTTCAATATGAAGTGATAACTCAGTTGCAGGGGATTATGTATCTGCTCATAAATGTCAGCTGCAAGCCTGGAATTCCTCTGGCAAGCAGATGCAACTAGAGTGGCTTCTGTTGCCACAGTATCTTGGCCAGGCATGTGCTCCCTTTGTGGCCTGTAAAAAAATCGAGTGCCTTTCTTTCCCAAATAAAGGGTCCATATGCAACTCCCTTACTCATGAGGTTACCCTAGACTCATTAAAGGTTGATGCAGCTCCATGGTGGTGGACAGCTGCAGTGTGTAATGTTACACACTAATGTGATTTATAAGGCTTCTTCACATTTTGGGGCTGCTATGAATAGCTTTTATGGTGCGATAATTAGAACCTTAACAGTCATTTGGCATTGGAAGTAAACTTTGATTGTATGCCTTCTATGTGGCTCATCAAAATTCCACTCATTCCCAGCACTGGCAGCGCTGATAAGATGACAATGTACTTTGAGTCTTAAACCACATGCTCAGGGGAAATTCTCTGACTTCCTTTGGGCTTGAGGATTCAAACCCTACAACCCAGTCTTAAAATGCATGACTGTGCCTGTGGCCCCAGGGATCCTTCATCCTCATGCAATGTCCTGAGGGCAATATCCACCCAAAGTTATAACACATTTAAGTTTTGCTGAATTCAAATGGAGCATTGATGACTATCACAAACCTTTCCTACAGAGATCAGTGGGACTTAAAAGTGCATAGACTTGTCTGAATTTGTGCCCAGATAAATGGCTCCTCTTATGGGAAATGTGTTTATGCCAGCACACCACTAACAGTTCTCTATACATCCTGCTTTATGAGCAGATTTTGCAAGTGGGACAAGTCTTAAGAGCATAGCTGCCAACATTTCCCTTTTTTAAAGGGAAATTCCCTTATTCCAAATAGGATTCCTCGCAAGAAAATGGAAAAGTTGACAGCTATGCTTAAGAGTGAAGGCAGGCAAAACATTGAAAGAGTGCTGGAAGTAGTTAGATATTGCTGATGCCCTCCAGATGCATGCACATTTTTCTGACTTAGGGAAAACACCAAAGAGTTTTTCAAGGTTTTTGTGTGTGGGTTAACTGAACTGGGGAAAAGCAGAGCTTTGGTAGGAGCCCAAGGTGCCCCTCACCCAGTAACTGCTTCAGCTTTTTGAAATTGGCCGCCTTAAAGTCCAGAGTGCATGTCTGACTACTCTCAGCTTTCCCTTGCCTCTGTATCATGAAACTTCCTCCCAAGTTTCCAGGTACTTCCGCTTCATCTTTCAGTCCCGTCCCCCCCATTGTTGAGGACTTCTTGGTTCTTCCACCTTCTGGGAAATGAAATTGTCAGTGAGGCAATGGGTGAATTTGTTGAACCTTACATTCTTGGCAGAGTTTGAGTTTCAACAGATCAGGGAAGTTGAAGCCTCCCATGACTACTATATCTCTCCTTTTTGAATGTTTGGTAATCTGCTCTCGGAAGGCATCATCCAAGTCTGCAGTCTGGCTTGGCGATCTATGGCAGACTCCCACAGTAAGGTCACTGCTGTTTCTCTCCTACGGTTTTGATCCATGTACTCTCAATCTGCCTTCCATGCTATACGTCAGGCATAATGCCACCAAAAACATTTGGCTTGATTGTTGCCACTAATCAAATCTCATCTTTTGTCTTGCAGTGTCGTCCATCCAGAGGCCGAAAAAGAGGATACTGCTGGTGTGTGGATAAATATGGGCAGCGACTCCCTGGATATGATGGGAAGGGGAAAGGAGATGTCCATTGCTACAATCTAGAAAGCAAATGAGGGATATCCACCACCTTCTGTGGAATCTGCGTGTGGCATTTTAACTATCAGAAGCCTTGGAATGACTGGGCTGCAGCATAGACTGCGCTAGACTTGGGAGCTCAGAGTTTTGTCCCTTCTTATACTGCAGGGAGTCAGTCTCTGTGGTCTCTGCAGCTGCAACCTGCCACTGACACACTTCTGGCTTTCCATTTTGCCACACAAGGAGTTCTGAAATCCCAACTAAATCTGCACTATGGATACCCAGAAAAAATTTAAAGGGCTAAAAGGCACTTCAGAATGGATTCAGGGAGTCTCCACTGACTTTGTGTTTTTGTGTGTGTTTTTTTAATTAACAGCCTGTGACCAATTTGATCCCGAAAGATAACTCTCCTTCTGTGTTGAAGAATTTATAGACTGTAAGCTTTGTAAAGATATTAAACATACTGGATAAGACCCAATCCAAGCTAAGCACTTTTTAAGTTGCCTGGATTTCAGTTGGGGAGTTAAGCATGAGCTCATTTTTATTCCAGTGAAATTACTTATAAGTAATATAGTGTGGAGTGGATCACACCCAAGGTTTCAAAGTAAAAGCATTTTTATTTTGTCTTTATACAGGTCTGACGAGAAACTTTTATCTTCACGGGTAAAATATTTTATTAAAAAGAAAGCTCAAAGAACTTTTTTTAAAGAAACATGTTTCTACTTGGCTATTTTTTCTGTAAAATATACTGTATTATGAATATTCTGTTAGTCTGTATTTAATATAATTGTTTTTTTAATAAACTATTTAAATATAACATAAATGTTATACAATCATTATAGCATATGCTTTCAAATTCTCTTCCCCAGAATACTTTCCAAAGCCTGCATCTATATCTCCAAGATAAGTGTAGTATTCACCCTTTCGATATGTCATAAGTCCATGGAGCAAAAAATGGCAGGGGTTTTGAAAAGCAAGCAGGGAAGCTTATTTTAAGATTAGAGTTATATTTGCCATACTAAGAATATTGTTTTGTATTAAGTGCTCTATATGTCTAACTACAGTTCAGGAAAGGTGTTCACTCCTAAATTAACCTTATCTGGGCTAGTCTGATCAGCTCTATCCAAAGTGTTTATAAGATTGATTAAGCCATTAACTAGGCGGATTGGAAAAGGAGGATTTTAGTTACCTCAGAGACAGAGATGAAAATACATGTAAAAAGGTAAAGGGGCCCCTCACAGTTATGTCCAGTCGTGGACGACTCTGGAGTTGCGGCGCTCATCTTGCTTTACTGGGCGGCTTCCAACAGAATATTAAAATACAATAGTCTATTAAACATCAAAAGCTTCCTCAAACAGGGCTGCCTTCAGATGTCTTCTAAAAGTCTGGTAGTTTTTCTCTTTGACATCTGGTGGGAGGGCGTTCCACAGGGCGGGCGCCACTACCGAGAAGGCCCTCTGCCTGGTTCCCTGTAACTTTGCTTCTCGCAATGAGGGAACCGCCAGAAGCCCTCGGTGATGGACCTCAGTGTCTGGGCAGAACGATGGGGGAGGAAACGCTCCTTCAGCTATACTGGGCCAAGGCCGTTTAGGGCTTTAAAGGTCAACACCAACACTTTGAATTGTGCTTGGAAACATACTGGGAGCCAATGTAGGTCTCGGTGACTGTTCCTAGTCACCAGTCTAGCTGCTGAGTTCTGGATTAGTTCTAGTTTCCGGGTCACCTTCAAAGGTAGCCCCACGTAGAGCGCATTGCAGTAGTCCAAGCGGGAGATAACCAGAGCATGCACCACTCTGGCAAGACAGTCCGTGGGCAGAAAGGGTCTCAGCCTGCGTACCAGATGGAGCTGGTAAGCGGCTGCCCTGGACACAGAATTGACCTGTGCCTCCATGGACAGCTGCGAGTTCAAAATGACTCCCAGGCTGTGCACCTGGTCCTTCAGGGGCACAGTTACCCCATTCCAGACCAGGGAGTCCTCCAGACACACCCACCTCCTGTCCCCCAAAAGCAGTACTTCTGTCTTGTCAGGATTCAACCTCAACCTGTTAGCCGCCATCCATCCTCCAACCACCTCCAGACACTCACACAGGACCTTCACCGCCTTCACTGGTTCTGATTTGAAAGAGAGGTAGAGCTGGGTATCATCCACTTACTGATGAACACTCAGCCCAAACCCCCATGATCTCTCCCAGCGGCTGCATGTAAATGTTGAAAAGCATGGGGGAGAGGACAGAACCCCGAGGCGCCCACAACTGAGAGCCCAGGGGTCTGAACACTCATCCCCCACCACCACTTTCTGAACACGGCGGAAGCAGCGGAACCACTGTATGACAGTGCCCCCAGCTCCCAGCCCCTCAAGACAGTCCAGAAGGATGTTATGGTCGATGGTATCGACCAGTGCGACCAAGGCAGTTTCAGTCCCATGATGAGGCCTGAATCCCAACTGGAAGGGATCCAAATGGTCTGCTTCTCCCAGGCGTGCCTGGAGTTGTTCAGCAACCATTCGCTCAATCACCTTGCCCAAGAATGGAAGATTTGAGACTGAGCGATAGTTGGCCATTGTGGCCGCATCTAAAGATGTTTTTTTAAGAAGCGGTTTAATAACCGCCTCTTTCAGCGGGTCTGGGAAGGCTCCCTCATGGCCCCCCACAAAGCCCATCGCTCAGCATTTCCCGGCTAGCTTTTATAAGCCAGAATGGGCAAAGATCAAGGAGACAAGTGGTTGGTTTCACTCGTCCAAGCAGCCTGTCCACATCCTCGTGGGTAACAGATTGGAATTGATCCCACACAACAGGACAGGACTTTAGCACTCTCCCGCCCCAGCCCTGTTCCCACGGTGGAGTCTACCTCTTCCCGAATCTGAGTGACTTTATCTGCAAAAAACTTTGCGAAATCATTGCAGGAGATCATTTGGTCCGTACTGGACCCCGGTGGAGCAGGTGGTTCCGTTAAATTGCAAACCACCTGAAAGAGTCTCCTGCTGCTGTTTTCTGCAGTTGCAATAGAGGCGGTGAAGAAGGTTTTCTTCACTGTCGCTGTCCCCACTTGGTAAGGCTCGACATTGAGCTCTAACCTGTGTCCGGTCAGATTCAGAATGAGTTATTCGCCACCAGCGCTCTAGCCGTCTCAGCGATTGTTTCATTGCCCTCAGATCCATGGAGAACCACGGGGCTGTCCAGGCTCCAAGCAATCGGAGAGGGTGCTTCGGTGCCAAACAGCCAATAGCCCTGGTTAACTCAACATTCCAGCGGGCCACCAGGGAATCAGCTGAATGGCCATCAACATGGCATCCCCTACCACTCTCTGGAAACCATTTGGATCCATTAAGTGGCAGGGGTGGACCATCCGAATAGGTCCCACCTCCCTGCAGAGGGGAAGGGTCATGGAGAAGTCCAGTTGCACCAGGAAGTGATCTGACCATGGCACTTCTTTAGTTTCGCTTTTGCTTAGTGTCAGCTTACCAACATCCATAGAGGTGAACAGCAAGTCCAAGGCATGTCCGTGGCTATGAGTTGGGCCCGACTTATTTAGGGACAGCCCATGGAGGCCATGCTTTCCATGAAGTCCTGAGCGGCTCATTGTAAGGTCGTGTCAGCATGGATGATAAAATCCCCTAGGACAGTCAAACGAGGTGTCTCCAGGAGAAGAGCAAATAAGAGGCAAGTGTGTCTCTCTTCCAGATCTCTCCATTACTACAGGAAACTCTTTGAGAGGTCTGAATAAACAGTGTGAAGAGAGCTGATTTGATTACTGTTTGTGAGACAAGGCTGCCACTGAACACAGCCTGTAACTCTCAAGTTGCAGAGCCTATTATTAAAACATTTGACCCCAGGGAAGCACATAGCAAAAGAAAAAGGATGACAACTTTTTGTATACCACCTATCTTATTTTTGCAAAAATCTGCCCATCTGATGAGCATCCCCTCAATTCCTTTGTCCAAGCCACTTATAAAGATGTTGAACAAGGGGCTGAGGGACCTCGCACAGGGAAGAGCACCATGTTGCCATGCATATTGGCCCTTATTTCTGATCTGCTGAAGATGTGGACTAGGCAATGATCAAGAGAGGAGATTGCAGGCAGAAGCCAGCCACATTCTGCCTCTGTCCTAGGAAAAATGTTCTGAAAGGCCTCACAGCCTGGAACAATGTTTCTAGTTGGCTTGTCATTATTTGAAGGTTTGTGGGGGATGAGCTATCCCTGGACAGCAATAAAAATATATTAAAAATATAAATAAAACACGATGGTTCTCCAAGAAGAAAGTATCTTTTGATTTCTACAAAGGGTGATAGATTCCTGCTCCTGAATCTTGGGGCCATGAGCAAGCAGTTAAGTTGGGCACTTTAAAACTCGTTGATCTCCCTGAGCTTAAGTGCTCTGAGCTACTTTTCCAGTGTTGGCAAAGTTCTTGAATGACTCAGAACATGCTTCTTGATTCATGAAAGGAGACTCCAGAATCACACAGAACTTAAGGAGTCCTTTATGAAAACTGCTTTGAGAGATTCAATAAATATACCATTGTGTGTGTTGTTTGTTTGTTTGTTTGTTTGTTTGTTTATAAAATGGGATCAATAATTCACTTTCATGGCAAAGACTCTGCTCCTCTCTTAGTGATGTGCAGAACACGTCTCTTTCAGAGGAGAGCAGTCCAGAAAAGCTGGGCCAAAGTCTCACTCTGTTTTCAGGTGAGGATTAGCATTGTTTTAAGTTGTAGGATAGCAGATAGCCTATCAAATGGCATTGGGTTGGAATACAGTATATCTACAGTATAACTTTGCTATCACAAAGTTAAGGTCACATAATTTTCTCCATATTTTCTACTTCAGTATGTTACAGTGTTTTAAATTACAGTGTTTTAAATTAAGGCAAGTATTTAATTTTCAAAAAGACATGACATGAGCATCCAATATCCCCCCACCCTGTCCCCAGAAATCCTGTTCAGAAGCCAAACTGCCTAATGATTTTCCAGTTTATACCTGAAATATTTGTGGGATCCATCTGACCTCCAACAATGTGGACAAGGTCAGGCAACGCAAATACAGTGTGTTACTTCAGGGTTTCGATGCTTGCGCATGCGCAGATGCTCAAAATTTCATCACATGCATGCACAGAAGTGGCGAAAAGCGATGATCAAGAGGAGCTTAGGGGAAGTTTTTCATGCCACCCAAAAAGTTAAAAACCTAGTTCTCCTAGGTGCCAGCTGTAATTAGTGTGGGGCATAATTCAGTAACATGTGTGGAATTAGCTCTGTTATTTTTGGCCACACAGAACTGAATGGTGTAAAAGTGAATTAATGCCTCTTTTTGTGCTTTCATTGGTCTTTTTTTAAAATTCAGTTCTCAGCTCAATATTTTAATAAGCAAACACTTCACTTGTGATTTAGGATCCCAATGAAAACACAATAAAACAAACTTCAGTATTACACCTGATTATTGCTAATCACTTTCACATAAACCATGAAAAGCATATGTTAAGAACAAAGGGCGTAAGAATCTGCATGTAGCATTTTTCACATCACATGGCCTGGATGTGAGGACACATGTACACAGAACAAGGTGGTAAAGGCAGGTAGACTAAAACAGGGCTCACCAGCCTGGCCCTTGAGCCTGCCAGTAGCTGCTGTGGAATCTGCAAAGGGTGCCCTCACAAAGGCACAGCGCATGATTGGGGGGTGCACCATGTTGTGCCCTTGTCTCTTTGTCAGATGCAGCTGTCATTTTGCAACATGTGGCTTAAGAAAATGGTGGAATCAGCAGGGCTTTCTTCAGTCAGAACTTGCCAGAACTTAGTTTCAGCGCCTCTCAGCCGCTGCCATGATAA